TCTCCCCCAATTTTACATTTGTATATAAAATTTCCCCCTTTCCCCCGCTTCGTCTGATACAGAACGGCGCAGTAGTTTGCGCAGTGAAAAACTTCTTGTTTCTGGTCACAGTTTTAGCGGCTTTTATTCTTACATCTCATCTCCAACAAAAACCCTACATATCTCCGCTCAGAAATGACATACAAGCCTAAATGAGGTACCATTGGAAAGAGATTGTTTACAGCTATCTAACTGTGCTGGTTTTATTGGTGTAGAGGGCATTTTAAAAATGTCACTGAAGTAGCTACTTAATGGTCATATAAGACATTCTCTGTGACGCCTGACAGGGATGTGTGGCAGGAGTCACGTAAGAGGTTCATAAAACCAGCCCAGAAACAGATGGGGCCTGAGGTGAAGTACAGAGTATCTCCTTATACACATAAAAATGGCGATGATTTTCCCCCATGCCTGTGACCAAAATCACCCCTCCACAAACTCAACTTCTGGAACAAGACCAAGGTTCAGAAGTGGATTAACAACTACAACTTTCCAACGGATATTACAGCCAGTCAACATGAAGAAGAAATGGTAGTCTAACTGTACAGTTCATTCATCTTTTGATGCCTTGTCATTTAATCCATGGACTGCCTTTACATGCTTGCCTTCCACCTTTTTTTTTAGAGCCTCTAATGAGTCTAGAAAAGTGCCTAACAATAATCTGATTGCGAAATGTCTACCATATTCCTAGTCTGTTTCTTCTTTTGCTGCATTTTATCTCCAAGAAAGCAAAGGCTCTCAGTCAAGTAACAAAAATGCCTCTGAAAATGTGTTCATGGCTGGTTGGATTTTGTAGCTATAGCTCTCTAAATGGTTCCCAACTGGTCTTTTGCAGATCCAAAAGGTCTGTGGTATGTCTTCTTGTTCTTCACCTTTACAGCTGTAAACTCTACAGAATGAGATTTTTTTTTCAAACAATTCTGGACTTTAATCTTTTTCTACAACTTGAGTTCTGCGCATTCACTTTACAGATCTGGCTTATTTGTGTGCAGACTGTTGGTTTCTCACCTCTCAGGCAGATCTACTCCGACGTAGAAGGAAACACACCTAACTACTGGCCTCCTATGAAATGCTTGTTGGGGACAACTGGATGTATTTTTTGTCTTAAAAAACGAGGAAGCGTATATTCGACAAATTTTGAGACGAAAATATAATATTAAACTGGCAACTGATGACCCGCCAAAGCCAAAGGACAATATGAGATCATATGGTACTACGAGAAGGAGAAAACTAGAGTACCATGAAAGCAGGAAAGTTGGAGGGTAAGAGACACAGAGGGAGCCAGAGAGAGAAGATGCTGGACAGTCTGACATCACTGTATGCGTGATCATCTGTGTCAGAGTTAACTGAAAGTATACAAGATAGAAATTTGTGGACAGACACGACTACCAATCCACAGGGCCTGGACTTCGAGAAGAAGAAGAGTGGTTAAAACAAGAGGAGACTGGCTTGAATCATTTGTCAGAAACTGAAAACCATTAGCCATAAAAATGCTATAATGGTTGAAAAGAACAATAACAGACGGTTCTCAGAAAAAGTGGCAGGAGTCAACCAGCACAGCCGTGGACACAGGATATTAACAACACAATCAACATGAAAGTTCACAATGGAGGAAATTTGGTAAGGGACAGTGGCTCTCAGCATGCCATAATGAGCGATGTTTTGCAAAAGACCTACTACATGATGATGATGATGTCTCTCTCTCTCTCTCCTGCACACACACAAACTTTTGCTTGATTCTAGTCTAAGCACATCTATTATTATATTTGACTGAATTTAAAAAACAAAGCATTAACCTCACTTATAAGTCTCCACTGTATAGTGGTAGAGAGGTTTATGATTTCTAATTACCCAGTCTTGAAAGTCCAACCCAGATATTCACTGTCTGTCAACCAACTTTGGCCGATCACAACACCAATAAACACTGCACCCATAAAAAGGGGAAAGAATGATCCAAAAGAATCAAGGCCACCAAACATTGGCACCGCCACTCAATGCCCTATTGGAAACCAAAAATCAAGATGATGAAACAATGCAAAAAAATATACTGTACTTACTATTGACAGCCACCCATTCATTGAGATCCTCCCCCTCGGGTAACTGGACTGCCTGCCTCAAGTTTCCACTTCCTAAAGTAACAGCTGCATGTTTCATAAGATCATACTGATGTGTTCCTTCAGGGATGTTCTTCTTGGGCTTGAAAGTCTTGTTGTTCCTACTTCCACTGAAAAGAGCCAAATGAGCTTTTTTAAATACTTTCTTAAAAATAAGATTTTGTGGGAACAGTCTGTTGTGTTAGCTAATCTAAATGTGATAGTCAAGTTCAAGTATAACCTATGAAGTTTGAAAACTCTGAGACTGGTCTAGCAACCCAACAGTGATTTAGTTTGTGCTCATAGAAAATGAAGAGATCTGACGAAGCGACCAGAATGAAAGGGACAGTCCTAAGAATATCAAGAAATACAACGTTAATGGATTCAGAGCTTGACAAGCAGAATATCGACCACAGAAGTATTAGAGTACTATTTACAAAATGAAAAGAAGGGCCCGCTCCAGAGATCTCTTCTTGCCCTGACGGCGCGAGGCATTCCAGGAGTACAGAACAGAAGAAGACTGTCATTAACTGTGAGGCCAGGAGAGAGGGAAAAGGAAAATCAAAAAGGGAACAGAAATAAAGGATAAAATGACAGCAACTAGATTAAGAGCTAAATGTCTAAAAAGCAGGTTAAATACATGAGACAGCAACTGTGGGTCTAAAATCCCTGCAGCTAGGTTAAGAGCTAAATGTCTAAAAAGCAGGTTAAATAGATGAGACAACAACTGTGGGTCTAAAATCCCATGCACTAATTGTGAAAGACTTTTCTTAACATGAGCTGGACTTGGTAGAAACTATTGTCCTTGCCACGATCTGTGATTTCCATGACTACCTACAACATAAGTCTGGGAAGGTGCAAACCTAATCATAAGATATGCATGCACCACTGTAATACAATGATGATGATTACATAATCCCTTTCACTGTGAGCATGCCGTTCCTAACAGCACATCAATACTATGAGGAAAAAAGCATTCTCTTGTTCCAATGCTAGTGAAAGCAAATCGTTACCTTATTCTGTCAATACCTGCAGCTCACTCCATGTTTTCCTACCAACTTTTGCATTGTGTGTGTGAACAAACATATGTATGTGTGCGTATTTTTGTCCCCTTTATTTTTTGCCCATGTTGGTTCCGGTGCAAAAAGAAGTAAGTTTTTACATTCTCAAGTGACAAACGTTACCCTTGCATTTTGCCTAGCATTCTGGTAATTCATGGAGCAAAGTTAACTGTGGTAAAGTTATAACAATGTAATGAATAAATGAAAGAATAAAACAAAATAATGGTCAGTTTTATAAGAAAACTATAATAAATGACAAAGCGTACCCTGCTAAAACTAGGCATTCATCTGCAAACTTTTTTATGTTCGCCAGCAGTAAACTCTAGCTAAAAGTTTTGGTCGTTCATACACGTTTAGATTTCAGTCTTGTTCCAAAACCTGAGTTTTGCCTTCACATCCATTTTAAACATCTGGTTTATTTTTATGCAGACTTGGTTCAGCTATCCTCCTTCTAACGAGCACATATTATGGCGGCCAAAAACACACCCTAACAGTAAAAGGGCTTCAGTCACATGTCAATTGCGGACTTCCAGCGACTACCACCACCGCAGAGAGACATGGCTAAGCTAGATGGCTGGAACTCACGAGCAAATAAAATGAAGGAAGCTGCAGGAGATGCGGTAGCTGCTGCTCGTGAGTCCCAGCCATCTAGTTTAGCCCCGATACCCGCCGCGCGTAGCGGTGTGGGAGATACTCTCAGCTGTGGCGGTAGTCGCCTAAGTTCACAGTTTAAGTTGTCGGAAGTCCGAAATTGACATGTGACTGAGGCCCTGTTAGTGCGTGTTTTTGGCTGCCATATTATGTGCCCCTTATTTGGAGGATAGCCCTTGGTTCCTTGATTCTCAGGCAGGTTCAACTCTGACTTTAAAGGAAATAACCTAATTAGTCAGCGTTTACAGTATGCTTGTTGGGAAGGGGGGGGAAGGGGGAGGTGTGGGGGTGGATGTCTATTCTCTTAACATGATACTATAACACCATACGTTGGACTCCTTGGCTGGGGCTGAAAGTGAAATGGTGTTTTTAGGGAAACTATGAATTCACAATGGCAATGAAATGTAACTATTTTATACCCAGTGATAAATTAATGTTACTGATACAGAATAGAATGTCAATAAGGCTCATGTTTTGCTGAGCATGTTGCTAGAAATTAGATCATATTTTAACTATTTAATTCACTATCAGGATTTCAGTTTAACTTAAAGTTTAAAGAAGTTGAGTAAGTTCTTTTCAACTTAATCTGAACATATCGGATCGTGAATCCTAATTCCTAATCTATCTATAATTACTATGAGTTTCAGTGAGAGTTATTTGATCAATAACACTAAAATGAAACTAAGTTATATGTTAAATGTTTTCGTGTATTTGCCATGGTGAGTAAAACCGGTTGTTTTATGTTAAAAAATTTAAACAAAACATTTTCAAATCAAGACACATTGACACATCCTGGTGAGTAAAAAAAAAAAAATAAAGTTCAAGCACTCAACAAATGAGTAAGTAGTAAGATAGGTACATATCTTGTTTAGACTATATTGTGGTCAAAATAACGTCTTCGTCTTCTTTAGAAGAGCAAAACGTGGCACTTTAACAATGATAACATTATATAACATTCATGGATTACAGAGTTCTTAAAGTTTATTGCTTTTCAAGTAAAATTATTTCTTATTGAACATTCATTTCCGGTCTGTAGCTAACTTACATATATTTCTTAGTGTACTTACAAAAGGAAGCTCATCGTGAAGACGCAGTTTTACACAGCAGTTTTGCGTCTGCAGGGTAAAGTATTTAAAATATCGTTGAAAAGTTGCTGAAGGTTTACTTAAATGTTCATATCCAAGCCGATGATTTCAGATTATTTTATTTTCCTTCTAACAACAACAATGGCGATTGTTTATAGTTCTGCCGGAAGTGATGATCTCAGCTCAGGGGCTCTCAAGCAATGCTAAAGAAAAGAAGTAAAGGACCCTTTTCCACGCCTTTAGGACATACGACATATAGACCTGTATTTGATAGACCAACGGCAAAAGATAAGTGATGCATCATGCCGGCCTCCTCTTCTTCTCGGGACTGCACCAGGTACCCACTCAAGGCTGGGTCGACCTGGGAGTCAAGGTCATTTTGGAAGAAAAGACCGGCTCCGCCTGGGAGCGAACCCACGACCTTCCGATCCGCGGCACGGGTCTAGTCGCTCTGCCACGGCGACTCCCGTTAAAGATAATTATTTGGATAAATAAACGATCAATTCAAGGAAATTCACTCTTTCTGTGAGTTATGAGTTGGACATCACTCCGGACCCATATATAGGTGCTCAGATTTCCATCTCAACATATAGCGTGGTGCGATTTATAGTGCCAGTCCTATGCTGTGGTTGACAAGACTTCGTATGCGTCCGGTGGGCTTCTCGTGCCTGGCTGTGCCGATCTTTACTCCGAATTATCATATTCTTAGCAGTGACGTGGACACGTTGCTTCCAAAATGCTTGGAACATCCTATCTCTCTAAGGGCATTGACAATGTCTGCGTGATCCAGGGGCCGGCCCTCTTCAATTAATGCGGCCAGTGGCTTTGTGCTGGTTTTACGGATCTTCACGCGAGCCGTACCTACTGACAATAGCTAATATGGGCCTTACCCTTAGAACCGACTAGTCTACACGAGGCTGTTCGGTACAGTTCAGCTAGAAGACCCCAAACAAGGGAATTAGGGAAACCCAAGTCGGGGTTACTATTCTATAGGTGTTATTATGTGTTGTGTTAAGCTTTTAGAACGTCATCATTCTCAGTGAATGTGTGTGCGTGCGTGTGTGTTTAACCCGCTGTTTGTGTCAGTGGAAGTGGGTATTTCCTGCTCTTGTGTTAGGCGAAATATTATAGATATAAATAATAACAATCAGACAGTGTATTAATCGGCACTCATTTAAAGAAGCAGAAAGATAAGACACACCGGACACCATAAATTTCGAAAATTGTATTTATCGTGCCGGAAATGGAACCTGTCACCACCAAATGGCATGTGCCCCTACTATGGAAACAAGTGTACTAAGAACAAAACAAACTAGGCACCTTTGTTTACTCTGTGGTGGCGCGCATGCCTGAGCTCCCAGGTTCCGGCGCCCATGGGGGGTGGGGGTATATCCGTAGGCCAGGAGGTTAGACTATCCTCGTAGATAAGGGCACTTTTTGTATGGATGCCTCGAAGCAACCCGACAGACGTTATCGGGACAGACAGGATCACTTTCGTCATCATGGAGAGCTTGCGATAAACATGACTTTTTCTCTTGATGACAATACTCTGACCAGCAATAGTCTTTGGTTGTTGACCCTTGAACATACAGTGTCATTCAGTAGGATCTTCGTTAGGCAAAAATTTGAACGGTATTTGTCATTTAACCACGTGAATATGAACACGGTATACTTACCAACGCTATGCTGTCAATATCAAACATGGACACTGTCTTCAGAACATAGAAGGAAAATAGTCGCAGCAGAATATGAACCGCAGAAATAATAGACACTAAAAAGTACTTTATACGAAGCGAACAGAAGAGCCTGTTCCATAGATCTCTTCCTGCCCTTACGCCGCGAGGCATCCCAGGAGTAAATAAACGAAGACAGCTTGTCATTTAGTAGGATTCTCAGTCGACAGATGTTTGGGCCGAAATTTTTAATTTAGTAAGTACCAAGGCCAGTGTACTCAAAAGACCTCGTTTTCCTGAATTTTCCGATGGATATTTTTACCCACCGTAAGTTGAGCTAAGAACCGATATTACACAAACAGCACTCAGGACAATCCAGTAAACGCTCCGTTCCCATCTTCAGCAGCCAGCCCAGAATTCAAATCCAGTGATACAGGTGGCAGTCTGATTACATATCCGTCTTGCCTTTTCTCTAGGTGTTGACTATAGACCAGATTTCATTTGCATTCACGATGTGTGTTAGAGTGATGATCAAACACTAGTGAATCATGCTGTTTCACAATTCGAAATCTGTTACGAACGCAAAATGGGATTGAAAGCATGATCACTAGTGCCAGTTGGGGGGGGGGGGGGGTGGAGTAACTTGACGACGATGATCTTGTCCGAATAAGGGCTTGCAGTGCTAACCACTCGACCAGCAGCTCCTCTGTAACGTGCAATGGCGGTTTCAAGATTGCCAGGTAAACTTTTTTTTTTTTCGTTTGTGATCAATTTGGGAGTGAGTAATTAACCTATCATTTATCATGGTCGCTATGTGTTGCCATCATTACCTTCATTGCCAACTTGAATGGCCGATAATGATTTTTTTTTTCTGTCTCGCGACCTCCATTAGCATGTATTAGTTTATGTCATGAAACTTATGTCTTGATTTAAAAAAACAGCTGTCAAGAATCTGGCCGTTTTTTCGTAATAATCTCTATTTTCATAGCTCTTTGTAGTCATCACACCGTGTTACAGCTTCTTTACTATCATAGTTGGCCAAAAATGACGAGTATCTGTTTCGGATGATTGCGACAAGCCGTCTTCGGTTTCTCTTTTAAAACAGGAAGTACTGAGGTCTGGAATAGAGAACGGCCTTGAGGGTGCAGTTTCCTGAAACAGACCCAGGGGCCGACCTCCACGAAGGTGAATACAGGACATTGAAGATGCTTTAGCTATGAAAGCACACAGGGCTGGAGAATTTGCTAGGGAAAGAGAAACTTTCTGGTGTGCCGTGAAGAAACCGACGTCCTGTAAAGAACATGCCATGATGATCGATTGATTGTTCTACACATTTGGATTGTCGAGTAAATGTTGAATTAAGAAAGGACATCATAACGTTCTGGACACCCCCATGAGCGCTCCATCTTCATATTCAGCAGCAAATGAAGAGTACCAATTCCGATGGCACCAGTAACTTTCTGAGTATATCCAACTCGACATTCCCTTGGGTGTTGAGCTTTGGCCGGATCCCTGGTAACTCCTTGCAGCGCCATTTTTCTCAGACCGTGATTGTCGAGGAGAATTTAAGCTTTCTTTTGCAATTCCACATCTTTCAGGAGTCAACTCGCCAAAATAAAAATTGTAAAAAAAAAAAAAAAATCCATTCAGATCTCTCTCTCTCTCTCTCTCTCTCTCTCTCTCTCTCTCTCTCTCTCTCTCTCTCTCTCTCTCTTTAAATGGCATCTCACACTCTGGATTTTTTCTCCAGGCTATGCCGACGTGGTGTGTGATGAAAAGTCAGACAGATTGGCTGGATCTGCACCACTGGGTGGTGAATTGATACATGACAAGACAGATTTGTTCAAGGCCCTTTGGGAACAAGCAACAAAATCAGTAGAGAAAGAAGATTACTATGGCCTGGGGAGAATGAGGCACCTGGGTGTAACCAGAGGGTCTGGTCGGCTCACTGCACATAGAGGCAAGGCAAGACGGACATATAACCAGTTTGTAACCGATACCATCATAATTGGAACTCTGCACTGGCTGCTGAAGATGAGGACGGAGCATGCATGGGAAGCCCCGAGTGCTGTGATGTCAATTCTTGATTCAACTCAACGTAAACAGCATCTTTCCGTTTAAACCACTGTCTTAATTTTGCAGATATAGATACACCATAAATTTATATTTTCGCTTCTAGATTCAGCTTTTCGTTATTAAACAATCTGGTCAGGTACATGCGTCGGCCATATTTGAAAACATCAGAGAACGACTGTCAATACTTTCATTATTTATACGTAATATCTCTGTAAGTTTTTGCAACGGTGCTTTTTTTTTTTAACGGGTGGTTCATTTTGTTAGCAATTCTATTTGAGATTCGACTGCCATGTTTCCAAGTGGGGTATTTTGGCAGAGTATTTGTTAATAGTGTACCCGAACCGACAACCGAACGAAGGACTCATTCGTCGGTAAGGTAATGAAAACCAAGAATTGGAGAGAGCTAACTGATTAAACTAAAGTTAAGAATTGAGCTGGCGAATCCAGACCAGATGGGCAGCGGTTTTTGGCAGTCAACTTTTTTTTAAAAGCATTTGTTAATCTCACCCTGCCCCCAAGACGTACAGTTACATTTTTAGACAGTAAAGTAAACTATTTGGCTCTCTCCTAGCGAAATAAATATGCTCTAACAGGGTCTCAGCGATATGTTAATTGCGGACCTGTTTCTGTGACTATGCCTCACCGCCGACCGTATCCCTAGCGCCGCTACGCGCGTAGCGGATGGGGGCTAAACTAGATGGCTGGGACTCATGAGCAGCAGCTACCGCATCTACTGCAACTTCGTCCAATTAATTTGCTTGCGAGTCCCAGGCATCTAGTGTAGCCCCCCATCCGCAGCGCGGGGGATACTGTCGGCGGTAAGTGTAACCGCGTTTTGCGCATGCCGAAAAGCTTGAGGACAACGACGACGCTAATCTGCGTCGGCGCACGTGGTTTCCCCGCCATGTCTGCAGAAACGTTCAAAAGTGTCAACGGTCACTATTATCGTCTGCTACTATCTTTTGCAGTGTCCGCAATTAACATATCGTTGAGACCCTGTTAGAGCATTTGTTTCACTATACAAAGCCGATCCTAGTTTTGCAGCGATTTGTTTATCGCCGGAATTTCGCATATTTTTAATAGCACTGAGCCCAGTATGGATATTTTTCGGCGGCATAATACCGGGGTAGAAGTTCGGAGGAGAGCCAAATATTTAGTTGTAATTTGTATAAACTATGTATGTGCATAATCCTGCTGCCTTCCGCTGAATGAGAGCAGAAAGTAAGGCGCAAAAAAAAATCAAGGAT